GAAATTTTTTCTATCATTATTTTAAATACTTGAACAGAAATGACAATAAAATTTTCCAACAAAGAAAAAAAAAACTCTAAGAGTATTTCGGTACTTGAAATTTCATCTACAAACTTCCTTAATGCAACTATCAAAACTTTTTCTTAAGAGGAACTTTGTGCCAAGTCTTATATTGCAAAAAACTGTTATTGTTATAAATTTAATAAATGGCTTTCACAACAATAAGGCACGGAATAAAAAATGTTAAAATTATTTTTTTGAAATTATTTTATGTCACTTTTTATTTCATAGCAAATATTATTAATGACTCTAATACCCTTTTTTTAGACTCATAGACATTTTAGCCTGCTCTATAGTAAAGAAGCCACGTGGAAATAATTGTCTGCTCTTTCAACATTTATTTGTGATATTTGTTCACTAATGTTTTTGTTGTTATCTTTAATAAAAAAATAGATATAGTAATTAACATTTTTATAAATTAAATGATTTGTGAAATACTGCAACATTAAAGTGTTTACTATTCGCCAGCTACAAATTACACAAAGCCAGGTTCTGATAAGACTTTTCAAGGTATCATGTACATTAGGACGAATGACATGCTCAGGGATCTCAAGATTGATCCGATCAAAAAATACATTTAGGATAGCGTCTTGAAATTATTTACGAAAACTGACAAGCTTACCAACACCGCGTTATCGAATCTCAGAATGGTTACAGGCTTTTCGGGGAGGTATGCAGATTTGAAGTCAATTATTGCTTAGTCCGATGAAGAGATAAACAATAATCCAGTCAAACCCTCTCTACGGGTTTTGAAGAAACCTTGCAGTTAATAGAGAGTAATAACAATAAAATATTTTTAACTGATTCCTTACAACTTATTTGGCATAACATAATTATGGTATTAAGACGTCCTTACACAAATATCAAATCCCTATAAATTCTAGTATATTTTAAAGAAGAAGAAAATTTTAATTAAATTTTACACATTTCACTCTTTCTTTTTCTTTCTTATATCTCTTTCTTTCACTCTTTCTACTTTCTTATATCGTTTTTTCAATTTTCCACTTTACTTTTTCATTTTTCCTAATTTTTGCATTTCAGTTTTTCCGATGTTTTCCTTTTCCATAAACTAAAATGCAAATGGAAACTTTCTGCAATTAACATTAGAAAAAAATGCTGTCGAGCACTTAATAGCATTTTTAAAATTTTTTTAATTTTTCAATTAAATATTTCATAAACTGTGTAGTTAAAAGGATAAAAATAGTAAAATAATGAATAAAAAAAAATTTGAGTAGGAAATTAAAAATAAATTAAAGCATTAAGCGCCGAATTAACTACTCTTATTGTTTATAGAAAAAATGTGAAAGCACTGAATTAAAATTATTTAAATATTTATTAGAGTTAATAAAAAATAATTAATAAATATTATTTGCATTAAACAAACTAAATTGAAAGTTTTTTATTCAATGACTAAAAAAAATGTAGAGCAATAAATGATATATTTCGATATTTTTAGCTTATTTTGTGATATTCGTATATTAATACATACATAGTTCAATGCTTTTAATATGTTTTAAAAAAAAAAATTCTTCGTTTTTTATTCATTGATGGAATTAAAAAATTTTATTTTATACACATTTTTTTTTTCTTTTTGTAAAGAAAAAAATTTCGAGATATTTTTGAAAAATAAAAATATGAAATAAACAAAATTTTGTACTAAAAATTCAAGTACAGTGAATATATTTTCATTATGAATCGAACAGACATCGACCGCATTACACGCCCACATAGTAATTTTTTTCCATTTCCCATTTGGAGGAACTGTGGACATAATGAATTTGGTGCCGTGCTGCCAAGCCGCACTGTCACCTCACTGTGCCACCACACATGGTGGACTAAAATACATAAATAAGCAAAATAAGCAAATACGAGTATCTATACATAACAATAGATAAAATATACTGTATATATAGATGTGTCTACATATATACTATCTAACATATATACTAACTAACTGAATGAACAGTGAATGGCGTCCATTAAACACTGAAGTATGAATCGGCATTTTCCACAATTTGAGGTTTTTTATTTCAATTTTGCTTTTGTACTTAATATCGTTGTGTGCTATAAAAATGTACACTTAAAAACCGCATGCCGCAAAAAATACTTTTTAAATTAAATAAATACATAAATTTATATATTATTTCAAAATAAATTGAAATTATTTAAAAAAACAAACATTTCAAATATATGAAAAGCAGCACATTTATGCGGTTTTAAAATAATTTCTCCAGCATTTTTATTTCAATTCATTTTATTTTTGCTTGGGTTCTAAACAATAATTATTATAATACGAGCGATGAGTTTTTAAATTCGGAACAAAAGTCGAAAAGAGCAAAAATTGGTTAAATGACCAATTTTTTATGGAAAAAAAATATCTATTAAAATTATGCCACATTAAACTTCTGTTGAAAAGTAAAGATATAAAAAAATTATTAAATTTTTTCAAATATATACATTTTAGAACATTAGTTGAGCAAATTTGTATTAAAAATTCAATTTATTTTTATAGCTTAATTAGTATTAAAAAAACAAAATTAAATTTGTGCAAATAAATATTAAAATTAATTATAATAGAAGATATGAATTTGTGGTCATTAAGTTTTACATTCACTTTTAAGTGTATGTAATTAAATTATTAATTAACAAATTAAATGAAATTATATTATAAATGGCACTTAAAAATATTGTAAGCTTACAAATATTTACAGATTAAACATCAACTATAAATGCAATTAAGTTATACACAATATCGGAGGAAGATATCATTGCATTGCTCTATAAACTACTTTATACTTGCACAATTTTATCTTATTAAATCAATAAAACCACTTACTATTGTATAGAAAACCCTTCAAAAAAAATTTTGAAATTGGAAATACATGAAATTAAATCTTTGAATCCAAGTTCATGACGTGGATTAGAGATCAAATGCAAATCAAAGCAATATGTTTTTCATTTCAATATCACAACTTAGATATTATTTACAAAATAAGTCCCTATATTTTATATTCCAATCCCACAGCCCGGATTACAGATAATGTGCTAAACAACTAAGATAGACAACAAAATATTCCAAACAGCCTAAGTACTTTAAAATGAAGCAAGAAATCTATATAAATTTAATTTACATATAAAAGCTCAACACAATTGAACTTCTTGCTAATAAGACTATGTAGAAAGCAAATAGAGTATAAGTATTTCCTTATGAGCCTTACAGCAGAATTTCTTAACTGAATTTAATATAATAACTACCTCGTGTTTCTTGAATGACTGTTTAATGCTAAGAACAGGAAACTGATATACCTTTAACCAAATAATTCGTCCGTCACTTCTATATGGATGTGTAGCGTTTAGCAAAGCTTCAAACACTACTATTCGCCAGCTAGAAATTGCACAAAGCTAGGTTCTGAGAAGACTTTTCAAAGTATCAGGGTACTACAAAACGAATAACATCCTCAGGGACCTCAAGATTGACCCCATCAAAAAATACATAAAGAATAGAACCCTGAAATTATTTACGAAAACTGACAGACTTACCAACACCGCGTTATCAAATCTCAGAATGGTTACAGGTTCTTTGGGCAGGTATGCAGATCTGAGATAAATTATTGCTTAGTCTGATGAAGTGATCAACAATAATCCAGTGAAGGGGTAAAGAGAGGTTTTGAAAATACTTCGAGTTAAGAAAGAGTAAAAGTGCTCAAGTGCACTGGTTCAAATAGCTTCAACATAAATAATATCCACATGATTTTTAAGATTAAAGTTAATTAAAGATAATATAAATTAAACAAAACCTCATGATCCATAGAGCCAAAGTTAACTGAAAGTAATATAATATAGTAATAAGTGATTTCTTATGACTCCAAAGGTAATTAGAAATTCATATAGAAACTAAATTCAAACTTATATGAAAACCAATTATGAAAGAAACTATAGATTAACGAGAATAAAAATCTAAATAGCTGTATTGTACCAACTAAGTAATATATTAAAAATTCCACATTCCAAATGAATTAAAAGTCACTCTTAGTCTATGAAGAGTGAACCACAACCGCTCTGAGTCTCTGATTAAAAAGATGTCTTGTAACTTGAAAAAATGGTTACTAATGCAACATTTCAAATGAATGTCTGCCTATAGAGCTGGTTCGTTTGTGCAACTATAATTGGATCATCGGACACCATGGCCTACGTTACCGGACCGACCAGATGAGTTTCTCTGAAGACATAGCATGTCAGCTCTTCTTAAGGAGGCATCTGAGATCTTTAGTCACATTGTTTGTGATTATACCTCTTTGATCTGATTAAGGAATAGAAATTAATAGGCCTTAAAATAAACGTTCTTTATCTAATGTATAGGATAAAATCTGTATACTCAGATTTACTTCACAAAATTCTATTTGGCAGCGCGTAACTGAAGAAGTAGATTAAGATAATTGCATTGAAGGTAATTACGAAATGAACTAAATTTTATCAACTTATTTATCAGCAACGTAATTATTTTATTGAGGCTGTGATATGTTAAGCTTTTGAGTACCTTGATAAAGTGGAAATATATATTATTTAATAAATGGTTGTTGATATCTAAAAAAAAAAATATAACAAAAACAGAGTGCAATACTTGTTTATTGGTAATTTTTTCCAAAGATTGTATCTACTTTTCCGTTTTTAGATTAAGGCATACAGTTGACTCATACTTATTTTGCCATAATATATATGTTTGTTGGTTAATTAACCAATTAATATTAATTATTATTGGTATGCTTGTAAACTTAAACAAAATTCCCACTTTACTATGGTCACAAATTCTATTCGTTACATTTTTTATAACCTTCAACTAATATTATAATTAAATATTACTTTTAGTTTTTTATTCATATTATATATTTATAATAGAAACTTTTTCTGAAATCAATTCTTGTTTATATTTTTCTTTGCAGAATGACGACAATCATTGCAAATTTCCAGTTTAAGTTCTGTGTGAATAGTCAAGTCAAAGGTTTCAAAATAGCAAACTAATTCGCCTAATTCAACAAAATTATTGAACAATATTTGTAGAGGCTAAAAGTCATGGAAAAATATACAATAAACATCAAAATAACAAATCATCACTGAAACAAAAAGCAAATATTTGATGATGGAACACAAAAAATCTTACCGGAAATCTTAAGTAAACCGAGCGAGGCGTGCTCGTTGAAGTCAAAGTTGAAACGCCTACATGTGAAGTGTATATGACATGTCGGGCGGTAAGGCGTAAAATGATGATTAATGACGAAATTATTAACACAAATCGCAACCATAAATAAAACCATAAAATAAAGAGAAAAATTAGAACAAATACAATCCTCAACTGAATGAAAGCTGAAGAGGAGAGAAGCAAATAGCTTACATGATGATAAAAGGTCAATATCACAGATTAAAGTAATTCATATAAAACACAGACGTTAACTGCTGGAAAGATACAACTGACAGTGAGAAACGAAATACTTAAATAAATGGATTGCAAAAGCAAGAGGCACAAAGTTATAAATTATAGACAATTTGACACATTTAAAGCAAACAAACGTGAGCATTTACTCAAAACAAGTAGAACAAGAAGAATAAATTCACATATAAATAAAAGTATAAGCCTAAGAAGAAGAATTGATATTTGCATAAATTCAAGTAGGGAAATTGCAAAGATTATAGTTATTACGATGGGGGCTTAAAAATCTCAAAACGCATTTAGTTTATGCCCCCATCTTATGAGAGTAGTGAACACACATCATCATATATATAGAGACCGAACATACCGAACATACCGAACATATAGACGAAACATATAGACACATCAAACATTTTGTAAGAAAAATATTCATAGTACACCTCCCCCTTCCTTAACTCGATTGAGACTTCTTATGATTTATATGGCTTCACTCATTAACTTTAACAACTACAAAAACCAAATTGCTAGTGTATCAACATTTGCTTCGGGGACTCTATATCTACTTTCAACAAACGAAAATCTCTCGTCACGCTGCTATCGTAAAAAGCCCAACTCAATCAAACTGATCTCAAAGGTGCGACATTTAGTGCGCTCAATCCAACAGGCCACAGTGCTGTGTTTCTTTATATTTCTGCTTAGTAGTTTCATAGCTATTGCATCTGCTGCTGTGACAACAACAACAGGTACACGTGTACTTGACACGGTAGCAGCAAATCTACAAACGTATCAACTTGCCGCTTTAGTGCTGGATACGACTGCCTCAAGTCAAGAGTTCAGCAATTCGAGCGCTATACAGTCCGCCATCACCACCGTCATCAATGACACTGCCAACGCTTACAGCAGTGTTGCACCGCCACCCAACACTGTTGCCGGCACAATCATTGGCACAGGCACTGGCACAGGCACAGGCACAGGCACAGGCACTGGTACTGGTACCTCAACAGCAGTCACCTATGCCGCAATTAACAATTATGATGCACTCGGCAATACACCTACAAACCACACTCTTGCACCGCCGGAAACGGAGACGGAAGGTGAATTTGCGATACCACCACTGCATGCCATAATTGTTAGCATTGTACTCCTGTTCGTCATATTGGGCACAGTTGTGGGCAATGTGCTGGTCTGTATTGCTGTGTGTATGGTGCGTAAATTGCGACGACCGTGCAACTACTTGCTGGTATCGTTAGCACTTTCTGATTTATGTGTCGCAGTTTTGGTAATGCCAATTGCGCTACTCTACGAAGTGTTGGAGAAATGGAACTTTGGTACGTTGTTGTGTGACATTTGGGTATCATTTGATGTGCTGTGCTGCACAGCGTCCATACTCAATTTATGTGCAATTTCAGTGGACCGTTATTTAGCCATAACGAAACCACTGGAATATGGTGTTAAGCGTACACCAAGACGCATGATGCTGTGTGTGGCATTGGTTTGGCTAGCAGCTGCCTGTATATCTTTGCCACCATTGCTGATACTTGGCAATGAGCATGTTGATGAAAATGGTGAACCAATATGTACTGTTTGCCAAAATTTCGCATATCAAATATATGCAACACTCGGTTCCTTTTACATACCATTGTCAGTAATGCTATTCGTGTATTATCAAATATTTCGTGCTGCTCGTCGTATTGTCTTGGAAGAGAAACGTGCTCAAACACATCTACAACATGCACTGAATGGTACGGGTTCACCACCAGGTGCAACTGATCTGGGAAGTGGCAATGGTCAAAGACATAGTAGCTATGGCAATACTTCACTTACATATTCAACATGTGGTGGGTTAAGTGTACATGGTGGCGGTAGTGGTGGAGGTGTTAGTGGCTCAAGTGGCTTGTTGGGTTCGCCACACCAAAAGAAACTACGCTTTCAGTTAGCTAAAGAGAAGAAGGCTTCGACTACATTAGGTATTATAATGTCGGCGTTTACGATTTGTTGGCTGCCATTTTTTATTTTGGCTCTTATAAGACCATTTGTTGAATCAGAGACTGTGCATGTGCCACAGTCACTTTCCTCATTATTTCTTTGGTTAGGCTATGCAAACTCGCTACTGAATCCGATAATATATGCAACACTGAATAGAGACTTCCGCAAACCTTTTCAGGAAATTCTATATTTTCGTTGTTCCAGTCTGAATACCATGATGCGCGAGAATTACTATCAGGATCATTATGGCGAGCCACCATCGCAGCGTGTTATGTTGGGAGAGGAAAGACACGGTGCCAGGGAGAGTTTTCTCTGAAATTAGGTGGACTGTAAGATGACCGCTCTTGCTTATTAACACTTCCAATTTATTTATGTGTATACGCTAGCGAACTGAAGCATAGAGCAAATCTATTCAAATTAAAAATTAAATTAATTCTCACCGTATCTCTAATACTACAGAACGTTGTAATGAACTGTGTTTTACTGAATAAATTTTAAGTGTGAAAAATATAAAAAAAATATTTAACTAAATTATTTAATTATTGAAAATATAAAAAATGAATTTTAAATATATGAACTAAGTAAATATTATAGACAATTACTGTAATGTTACTAAATATAATTAATGTAAATTTTGATATTTTTCGTTTGTATTCCTAAAGGTAAAAATAGTTATCGTAGTGACTATTTAACTTATAAGTGTTGTAATTATTATCATAAATTAGAGCTTTAGGAAACATGAATTATCTGACTAGCTGGCACCTGTACAAGTTAATAAATCATGCACACAGATACACTAACACCAACTCATTACACTCATTAGCATTAGTAAGTAATTAAGCCAGTTATATTATGACTTGTTAAATACAATGTCAACTAATGCAATAACTTTATAGGTAAATTTTTTTATTTCACTTAATTTATTATTACAAAAAAAACATTGTAAAATATACAGATTTTTTCGAAACTATTTATGAGTATTCACGTAAAATATTTTAGTTAAAGGTAATCACTACTTTTTGTGAAATTTACATTTGCTATATTTTCTTCTCTATGATATGAAAAGATGTTCATTTTTCGAATTAAAAATAATTTCTTGACAAATAGATATTGAAATAATATACTCTAAATTTGTAGTTTCTGCGCTCACCTAAAAAGATACTATTTATTTGGCAATTACTTGATTGCTGTTTTTGTTTACAAACTTGACGTTACTATAAATCATTTTTCCTGTTTCATTTTTTAAATAAATTTTAAATTATAGAATTTCAAGCTGAAAGCTTAAACTGAATCATTAATAAAAATACCATTTATAGTCTAGCTAAGAAGTGTTGCCCACATTTGTTTCAAAAACTCCTTAGCATCTCATTCTGCCATTTACTCTAAGTTATATATTAGAAGAAATAAATAATAAAACATAAAAAAAAGAAATTAATATAGAACAAAGTTTCAAGTATAAAAGCAATGTGTAGTTTTTAAAATTAAAATAAAATTGAAATTATTAAATACATTACATATAAGTATATACATATATATAAAATCTATTTATTTTCAAGTAAACTTTCAATATATGAAAAAAAATAAGTCCAGCAAATGCAAACATGACAAAATCATAACTAATACTTAAATATTTTAAAAACATAAATAAATTAGGAAATTACAAAAATAGTTTTAATATATAGAAATAAGACAGGATTACATACATATATATATTATTATATATATATATATATATATATATATTATATGGAAAAGAAAAACGCTCACATCGGTCATATGAAGTATTCAAATACTAAGTGAAACTAAGAATTTAAATAATAAATTGATTGTACATAAATTATATGTTATATATAAAAAAAAATATGAAAATATATACAAATATGAAATGAACAATATACGCTAAACTTACAAAATATGCTGTTTTTATTTTTTTTTTTATTTTTTGTTATTATTTTATAAAAACTTTCATTTAAATTAATTTTGTATATTAAATTATATTGTATTTATATATAACAAAAATATATTAAATTTTTGAGTTGTCTCTATATATGAAAGTCACGTCTCTCTGTGATAAAAAAGAAAATTTTTAATATTAATTTTAGTAAAAAATTATATAGAAGTTATCTAAAAGAATAATTGAAACCAAATAAAAAAAAAAATATTCGAAATAAGTAGAAAAACAAAAAGCAAAAAAACATTTTATGAAGACTATTAAAGTATAAAAAAAAATAAAAATAATATAATTAAATAAATGTATAAAATGCAATTTAAAGTTACTTTATGTAAGCGTAAAAAAAATACCAAAAACATATATACCAAAAATTAATCATAAATAAAATTAATTTTCAGTCTTTCTCATAAAAACAAAAAAAAAAAAATAAAGTAAAAATGTATCTTTCATTGTGCATAGTCGTATGAAAATGTATCATAGTACTCGCCTTGTGTGAGTATATCTCTTCCGAAACTTATTTAAAAATGCTATTTTTAAGTATTAAAAGGATTGTGTAATATATAATTATTAAAATAAGTTTAAATAAAGCAAAACAAAAATATAATACTAAATATTAAAATATTAAAAAATATCTACTAAAAAATTTTAAAAATGTGTTTTATTACAAATGGAATTTATTTAAGCTCATCCTATTTGTGGTTAATGTGACATTCTAAATATAGTTTTTTATCCTTCCTTTGTCAAATAATAAAAAATAAATAAAAAGTAATTTATACATTTTAAACTAAAGTGAAAATAATGAAAACCTATAGTTTAAGATAAAAAAATTGGTTAATATATAAGTGATGTCAAGGAATGAGAAATCTGGTGTTTATATTGAATTTTTTTTCAAAGCTTATTAAATTCCAGCATTTTATTTAGATTATATATCTAGATTATATAGAACGTCTATATTTAATAAAATGCACTGCTACTTATAAGTCCAGGAGGACTCCTAATTATAAAAATAAATTAAGATATAATGTAATATTACTGCCAACTAAGTTGAACATTTCTAAATATATGTATGATATTATATACAGATGAGTTAAAAAAATTGATGATAATGTGTGTAGGAGTAGGAGCTGCTAGTCATTCTCACCAGTGGCGGAGCTATACCAACTCTGCACAACGGGGACATTAGAATTGCGAGACACTATCACTAATACGACAAAGCATGATCGAAATTTTAATGCTAATCAAATTAAAATAAACATAAATTAAAATAAATGAATTTTCCTACTTTTAGCCTCATTCAATGTTTTTTAAAATTATATCATAATTTGCGCCAGCTGCTATTTTTGCTTCAGTTTATAAAATTTCCAGTGGAGATAGTCTCTCTTGGATCATCATACTTTTGTATTACGTGTTAATTAATTTTAACTTTGAGAAGCTTCTTTCCGTCGAAGCTATACTGACTGGAACTGTGAACTGACTGAAATTGTTCAAAATATTTATTAAGTGCTTAGAATCCACAGTCTGTAACTTTTTGCGAGGCCCCTGTGGATGCGAGGACGTCAGCGGTCGCCGACATCGCTGATGCCTAGCGACGCCACTGATTCTCATGACTAAATTTACAAATTAACTGGATAAGTGTATGACTGAGATAGAAAGGCTTGCCTTATAGTATATAGGAGGTGTTCTTAACACTGAAATAGTAAGACTGCACTCATACCGTACAGATCAACAAGACAAGCTTCATAAACTACTACAACCGGTAGCATGTTCTTATGAGATTTCATTGGACTGAACCCACCAGACTTGGTTAGTATTGTATAGATTATGTATTACACAATCGCAGCACATTTTATTGTAGGCTAAGATTAAATAAACTTAATAAGGCTTCAGCACATATGTATATGTGATAACCATTCAGAATTTAGGTATATAGCAAAAATTAATGCAATAACTAAATTTCATATTTTTAATAAGTTTCAATAAACTTAAACAACGTGATGAAATTTCTTAAATAGAAAATTGAATTCCAAATAAAATCTATTCAATATAAATAAAAAACTTGTCTCAACGACCGAATAAAATATCTTCCATAAACAATCATAAATGTTGGAACATGCATAAAAAATCAAGATGGCATAACACAGACAACCCCCGCACAACTTAAACCATTTAAAAATTAATATACACTTTAATTTAAAAATAAAAACTTTTCCACGATTTATTCTGCTTCTTCTTCTTCTTTTGTTTACACCAAATACACCAACTCCTTGGAAACGAAATGCGTGCACTTGTGTGCAATGTTAAGAATCCAAAGAAATGAGCATAAAGCAAGTAAAAGTAACTAAAAATCAGTCACTCAGTCAGTGCATAAAGTCACAATGTCAGTTTGCAAATGTATGTGTACATGAATGTGTATTTGTGTGGCAATGACATTGACAAAGCGATCTTCCGGCGCCACTTTTACTGCATTTTCGCACTTTTGCCTCCTCTAGCGCTGTTGATTTTTTGATAAATAATATTTTTGTTTTGTCTTCCTCCCTACAACTATAGTTGGCTATGCATGAGTATGTAACATACACACATAAATTCCCAGTAGAAAAAGTGGTCTTCGAAGACATTGTCTTCAAGACGGTCTTTGATACCGCGTCCGCATGTTCAAGCAAATTTGCAAAACAATTGCTCAAAACATGAATGTAAATACTCTTTCTTTGCTTTCTCTCTCATTTTTAGTGTTCATAGCAACGTATTTGAATTTTGCCTCAGATGACGCTATGTTTTATAAATGAAGTGACGCAATAATTTTGAAGTGTAGTAAATAAACATTTTTGTGAAATAAATATTAAAAAAATCAAAATGAATAAACAAATTAAATAGTGAATTAGTTCAAATGGAAAATATATTGATATTAATATTCAAAACAAAAATTATAGTGAAAGTTCTTTAAAAATACGAAACAAAGATGTTGAAAATAAAAAAACTAAAAACACTTGTGAAAAATTAGCTGTTATATTTAAAAAACACAGGATTAACAGGCGTTGTGGTAATGATATTTTAGAACTCTTAAGATCAGAAAGTTTAATTGTACCAAAATCCTCTTCAACGCTTTTGAAAGCATATAAAACTTCAACAATTGATGATAGCGAAATGCTATAAATTATTTTATATTAGTTTTAGTTAATTTTAGATATGCTAAGTTATATTAAGTTAATTATTTAAATTAATTTTTATTATGTTTACTAGTTTTTACTAGTTTATTATTAATATCTTAATAAAATTTATAATAATTTATAATAAAATTTATAATTTATTTTTAAAACTTTTAATTTTGAATGTAATTTAAGAAATTATTATATAAAATAAATAAAAGTACAAAATACAACAATTTCTTTCTACTTATTTAAAGAGAAAATTGAAATTCATTTAAAATTTAAAGAGCGCAATAAAAGAGTAGAAATAAAAAAAGGGTGAAAAAATTATATGAGCACTGCACTAAGAGCGCACAACTTTCTGTCGAATGCGTCCGTTATGCAAGACATGGTCTTCGA